AGTCGCAAACGACTCGATGGCACATAACAACAGTAACAACAAACAACATATTCATAGGCGATTTTCTTTATTTTACAGCTTTTGCTCTTTTTCTGCCAATCCTTGGTGTTCTTGTTGGCTTTCATCAGTTCTCAGCTAGTAATCGAAAACTGTGCTTTTTCACAGTCCTAGTTAAAAAAAAGCTCAATAACCCGCACACCCCATGGACGGTTGCTGTGAGTCAGAACCGCCCCCTCCACAGTGGGTATGCACCATATATCCCATCTCCTTACCCCCAGAATCTCCTTTATTTCCTTCCTCCTGTTCTGCTTTCTCATGTTCGTAGGGCAGAGGTGGCGATCCCACAAATCTTCCAGAGTACTCGTAATTTATTGTCGTATTTGAGAAGTCTGTGCTTTTAGAGCTGTTGTGTATGCTTTGCCTGAGTTTTAGTTCCTCTTTTTAAAAAAAGTAAAATTTCTTATTCCATCTCTTTTGTAACACACTGTTTTATTTGTAAGAAACTTGAGAATTAATGTTTCATTGATAACGCATAGCCTTCTCTCCATGCACAGGGTTATGCGGATCATAACCGAGACCTAATAAAGCTATTACATATTCATCTGCTAGTGGACACTTGGATTGTTTTCACCTTATTGCTTTGTGAATATTACTTCAGTGAACATTAGTCTCTTTGCACCCATGTTTCCAGGTCTTTGGGGAATGTTAGTAGGAATGGAATTGCTGGTTAATGGCAATTCCACATTGAACTTTTGGATGAACGATCAAGTTATTTTCCACAGGGGCTACACCATTTATATGCATCCAACATGGGCTATTTTCCACATCCTTGGCAGTACTTACTTTGTTGTTCCGATACTAGCCTAATATTGAAATTCATCTGGAAAAGTGTTTAATTGATTCCTCGTATTAAATTTATCCTAAGCAGCCTCCAATATGGATTGAGGCTTAATGTCAAGAAGACAAAGATTCTCATCTCACCACTGGGCCAATTGGCAGCATCAGGATGGATGGTGAAGAGATTGAGATTGTTCACAGCTTTATTTTTTTTTAATGGTGATAATTTTTTAAAATTAATTTTAATGAAAGCTCACAGAGACTTAGGGTTTCCAGTCATTCATAGTTGCACTTTTCCACCCCCTTCCCCCCCCAATTCACTCTTCTCCTTGAAAAGTAAAAGAAAAACACTTTCATTGTTATGTAATCTCTCCCCCCAAGTCTACACTGTGCAGCCTTCATTCTGGACTCCTGTCATGGCAATAATACTCAATCATATATCCCTTTCAAACAGTTCTCTCCCTCATCTGTTTCAATGCAGTGTACATCATTCCTTCCCTCCTTTTCTGTCTTCCCTCAACCCCATGTCAGTGCTGTTTTACAACAGTGGCCCTGTGCAATATTTGTCCTTTTGTGACTGAGATATTTCACTCAGCATAATGTCCTCCAAGGTCACCCATTTTGCATAATATTTCATGAGTTCCTTGATTTTCAATGCTGCGTAGTATTCCATTGTGTGAATATACCAGAGCTTCTCTATCCATTTATTTGTTAATGGGCACTCGGGTTGTTTCCAGCTCTTTGCTATTGTGAACAAAGCTGCAATAAACATGGGTGTGCATATTTCTGCTTGGGTGGTGGTTATGGTTTCTTTAGGGTAAATTCCCAGCAGTGGAATTGCTGGGTCAAATGTTATTTCTATTTCCAATTTTTTGAGAAAGCACCATACAGCCTTCCATAGTGGTTGCACCTGTTCACAGCTTTAGTTTGCTTGGCTCCACAGTCAACAGTCTCGGCACCAGCAGCCAGGAAATTAGAAGACTTATTGCCATGGGAAAGTCTGCTGTTAGGGACCTCTCCAAAGTACTGAAGAGCAATGGTGTCTCTTTGGAGACTAAGGTGCACCTGATACAGGCCATGGTCTTTGCTATCACTTGTTATGCATCAGAGAGTTGGACAGTGACTAAGGAGGATAGAAGGAGAATTGATGCCTTTGAGCTGTGGTGCTGGAGAACAGTATTGAGGGTACCATGGACTGCTAGGAAAACAAACAGATTTATCCTAGAAAGGGTCAAACCGGGCTCCTCCTTGGAGGCAAGGATTCTAAGGCTCCGTCTGACATACTTTGGACATGTTGCAAGGTGGGACAGGTCTTTGGAGAGGGACATCATGCTTGGTAGGGTGGAGGGACAGCGCAGAAGGGGAAGGCCCCCTATGAGGTGGATTGATTCAGTGATTGGGGTAATTGGGATGGGTGTGTTGGAGACGGTACGATTGGCACAGCACAGAGCAGAGTTTAGGGCTGTTGTACATAGGGTCGCTATGAGTCGCAAAGTGACTCGACGACACATAACAACTACAACAAAAACATATATTTCCATAGTATTTTTTAATTCTAAAAACATGATCAGATGAAAATGATAATTACAAAGTGAATTATAATTATGCTTATGAGGAATCTATACCTGAGTCAGGAGGCTGTTGTGAGAACAGAGCAGGGGACTGCGTGGTCTGGAATTGGGAAAAGAATGCATCAGGGTTGTATTCTGTCTCCATTCCTGTTCAGTCTATATGCTGAGCAAATTATTTGAGAAGCTGGACTCTATGAAGAGGAATGTGGCATCAGGATTGGAGGGAGACTTATCAATAACCTGCATTATGCCGATGACACAACGTTGCTTGCTGAAAGTGAGGAGGACTTGAAGTACTTTTGCAGAAGACCAAGGAATGCAGCCTTCAGTATGGATTGTGCTCTATATCAAGAAAACGAAGATTCTTAAAACTGGGCCAATAGGCAGTATCATGACAGACGGAGAGTATAGTGAAACCGTCAACACCTTCATCTTGCTTGGATCCCCAATTAACACCCTTGATACCAGCACTCGGGAAATAAGGAGATGCATTACACTGGGGAAATCTACAGTTAGAGACCTCTCCAAATTATTGAGGAGTAGTGATGTCACTTTGAGGACTAAGGTGCATCTGATACAGGCCATAGTCTTTCAGATTACTAGCTATGCATACAAGATCTGGACAGTGAATAAGGATGACAGAAAAATAATTGATGCCTTTGAGCTGTGGTGTTTGAAAATAGCACTGAACATCCCATGGACAGCATAGAAAATCAATCGATATGTCTTGGAGAGGGTGCAGCCGGAGTGCCCTTTGGAGGCAAGGTTGATGAGGGTTCACCTCACATACTTTGGACATATTGCTAGTATTCTTTAGAGAGGGACACAATGCTGGGAAGGGTGGAAGGTTGGCGAAGGAGAGGATGACCCTCGGCCGGGTGGATTGACAGGGTGACTGCTGCAGTGGGCTTTTGTGTGTCAGGAAGTGTGAGGATGGCGCAGGACAGGACTTGGTCCAGATCTTTTGTTCATAGAGTTGCTATGAGTCGTACTTGACTCGATGGCACCTAAGAACAACAACAACAGCATAATTATATTTTATAATTAAGTGAAAAATTAGCTTACTCTTAAGACTAATATTTTATTTTAAGCAATATTGATAAGGAAATATTGTAATTTTGATACAAAGCCTTTTCTTTATTATGAAATTCCTTAAACAAAAAAAGTAAAAATACATAATTTTCTCATTATTACTCAACAAAGGATTGGAAATAATGCTGCAGTAAAAGTGAGAGTCATATTTTTTTTGTTATTTATTTTTTTTATTGTATTATTTTTATGTGTACCGTCAAATCAGATCTGACTGGTACAGGAGGAGATTGCCCCCTTCTTCTCCAGCAGAGCATCTGGTGAATTTGAACCGTGTACCTCTGGGATTGCAGTACAGCGTCTTGCCACTAGGCCACCAGAGGAGAGTCATATTTTTATATTGTGATTGTGCAAAACATAAACAAAAAAAAAACCTTTCGTATTTTGGCAATACATAGACATAGAGGAAAGTCAAGATTATCTTTTTAAGATTCCTAAAGATATATACCTGTTTTGCTCCTAGAAGCCTTGTTAACATATTAATCACTTAGGGAGAGAAATTTTTAATTTATTTAAAGAACATTATATTTGGTAGAGTTGTTAAAAAAATAGATGGATTGGGAAGTATAATAAACTATGAAAAAATACAAAGTATTGTTATGTGCTGTTAGGTTGGAACTGACTCATAGCTGATCCCTGAGCAGGTTTTCAAAGGCAGTAAATTGCTGTAAAGGGGATTGGCTATCTTTTTTCCCCGTAGAGCATGGGGGAATTGAACTAGGTGCTTTTAGATTGACAGCATAGCTTCTTGTTCCATGAGGTTACCAGAGCACCCTAAGAAGTATTAAAATTTGCAATTTGTAATAGTATTTTGGGAAGGACTACTTAATGATTTTGGGATCTCTTCAGAGGGCCTATATTAGAGAAATCTTCTCCAGAGTGATGAAGAGCAAGAATGTTAGTCTAGAGACTAAGGTGCGCCTGATCCAGCCCATGGTCTTTGCAATTACTTGCTATGCATCTGAGAGCTGGACAATAACCAAGGATGATAGAAGAATGAAGCCTTTGAGTTGTGGTGCTAGAGAAGAATATTGAACATACCATGGACTACCAAGAGATCTAAGAATTGTTTTGAAGAGGGTGAAACCAAGCCACTCCTCAGAGACAAAGACTTTGAAGCTCCGTCTCACATACTTTGGTCATGTTGCCAGAAGGAACCAGTCTTTGGAGGAGGACATCATGCTCAGAAGGGTGGAGGGACAGCGCAGGAGAAGATGACCCCGGATGAGATGGATTGACACAATAATTGGGGTATCAGGGGTAGGTGTGTCAAAGACAGTGAGACTGGCTCAGGATACAGCAGGGTTCAGAGCTGTTGTGCCTAGGGTTGCTATGAGTCATAGTTGATTTGATGGTACAGAATAACAACACTTAACCATTTTACTCTCTTGGAATTTTTGTTTGACTGGTAAAATACATGCAAATTTAGTTGTAGTTTACTTTTTCTCACCATTTGCAAATAAGCCACTCTAACTATGTCATGTTTGTTTGTATTCACTGTAGGCTCAGTCCTCCTGTTCTTCCACTCTGCTCCTTAAAGGAAATACATTTGTCTTCTGATAAATTTTTCAGAATGGAACCTTCAGAGATAACTAATGGTTGTTTTATTTCTATTCTAACAAGGGAGGTAAGGAAAAAAAAATCCCTTGTAAAAGGAACTCTGGGAACATCTTGGAATGCTGTGCTTAGTTCACAAATAGTTAAAAGATAGGAAGGACAAACATTATTGGGTGGCAAATGATTCCTATTCTTCATATTTCTCCTAGTGTCCCTCATTGCTTCCCTTTCTCCACCTCTCCAAGCATTTGCTATTATGCAGAGGGTTTGACCTCACACATAAGACGTTCCTGTTAGATGCTGTTGGGCTCGCTATGACTCCCAGCAGTGCTGTGGACAGATCAGAACCCAGCCCTGACCTGCACCGTCCTCATGACCTCCGACATGCTCTAGGCCATGGTTACAGTCTCTGTGTCAGACCATCTTGTTGGGAGTCATCCTGACTTCTCCTTGGCTTTTCTCAGCATGATGTCTTTTTCCAAAGACTGGCCCCTGTTGATAACATGCTTTAAGTATGTGTGACGAATTTTCACATCCTAAGATGTACATTGTGTATTTTATTTTTTCCCATGAGGTTTATAGTTAGGAAATTAATAAAATAATTTGCTGAGACTTATGAACTATACTGAGAAAGTCTGCAGTCAGCGACCTCCCCAAATTATTGTGGAGTAATTATTGAGTCAGTTTGAGGTCTTAGGTGAGCCTGATTCAGGCCGAGGGCTTTTCAGTCACTTGCTTTGCATCTGAGAGTTGGACAACGAGTAAGGATCACAGTAGTGGTGATGCCTTTGAACTATGGTGCTGGAGAAGAGTATTGAATATCCTGTAGACAGCCAAAAGAACAAACAGATAAGTCATGGAAAGGGCGCAGTGGAAAGGGCGCAGCCCGAGTGCTTCTTAGAGGCAAAGATAATGAAGCTTCAATCTTGCATACTTTGGGCTTATTGCTAGGAGAGACTTCCTTGGAAAGGGAGATCATGCTGGGAAAGGTGGAGGGATGGCGAAAGAGAAGGAGACTCTCTACCAGGTGGATTGACATGGTGACTGCGGCAGTGGGCTTGAGTATGTCAGAGATTGAGAGGATGGCATGGGATAGGACAGTGTTCAGAGAGGGTGAAACCAGGCTGCTCCTTGGAGGCGAGGATTCTGACGCTCCGTCTGACATACTTTGGACATGTTGCAAGGAGGGACCAGTCCTTGGAGAGAAACATCATGTTTGGGAGAGTGGAGGGACAGCAAGAGAGGAAGATTCTCAATTAGATGGATTGACTCAGTGACTGGGGTAATGGGAGTAGGTGTGTCTGAGTCAAGAAGGTTGGCTTGGGATAGAGCAGGGTTCAGAGCTGTTGTATATAAGGTCACTTACGAGTTGCAAGTGACTCGACGACACATAACAACATGAGTCTGTTTAATTCAACAGCCCCTAAGAACAACATAAAATATACTTAAGAGTATTGCTGTTGTTATGTACTTAAGAGTAGGTTTTAAAAATTATTTCTTCTGGTAGAAAAAAAATTATTTTTTAAGCACTGCTAAATATATATAATAGGAGCTAGTTCCACGCTCAGTAACTTCCTCTTTAATTATAGCGGGACCCATCTGAGGCAATGTCCGTGAAAGATGTTTTGGCCCGTGCTGCAGCTAAGGGTCTTCTGGAAGGAATCGAATTGGGGAAATCGCCAAAACGGGAGAAGAAAAAGAAAAAATCAAAAACCTCCTTGCCCAAAGCCTCCACTAATGAAAGTAGCTTCATTCAGATGAGAATTGCAGATTTCCTGACCCGAGAAGCTAAAGCAAATGCTAATCAACCAGAGGCACCCCAAGCCAAACCACCCTTTCCACAGAAAAGCATCGCTCCAGTGGTTGCTTCAACACAGATCAGAAAAGCCAGCAAACCCGCCACCACCAGCCCCGTGGGGCCCGTGGGGCCCGCGGGGCCCGCGTATATGAAGAATGCTCCTCTCTCCAGGGCGTCTGAGCGGCAGGGCCCCCACTTTGTGAGACGGCGGCAGGAAGAGCGCTTGATCGCCCTGAAGCCCGTGGAGATTGTTCTGCCTCCCGTGATGCTGCCCTTTCCAGGCACCCTTGGGATGAGATCAGCGCAGCATAATTACAGTCGTTGGGTTACTCCCAAGCCTCTTATGGCCCCTTTTCCCACGCCAGGCTCCCGGAGAGGAGAGAAGCCTAAAGAAAACTTACCTTTGACCCTCCCCAGGCGTTCTCGACCTTGGCTTTGATTGCCTGGAGTTTGCATCTTTGGGTTTTGTCTCCCCTCCCCAAAGGTCAAGAGCAGTTAATTTTTTTTTTCAAAGTCTGACATTTCTCTGCAGGTCAAACATCCCTACACAAGATACTCATCCTCCTGAGGGTCACTTGGTAGCTTCTAAATGTGACCTGACCTTCGAAAGGTAAGAAACAGTAAGAATACAGGAGAGGGAGCGAGGCAGATCCAGTGATTTTCCAGTTCATGATGACGCCTTGTGGATGTCACCTGTACTCCTCGCCAGCTGTTAGAATTTGTCTCATGTCCCTTAACATCTGATCTTAACACGCCAGGTTTTTTAGAAAAAAAAAAATGGCAACAACTTTTTTATTTCCACAAGAAAAACACTTTCTACTTTCTGAGAGGCTTTTTTTAAAAAAATGGAATTTGTGAGGTAATTCAGTAGAAGGCACAGATAGGGGAAGGATGCGGGCCCTCCATCACCAACTCCAGGCTGCGCTCCTCAGCGTGGTATGTAGTGAACATTAGCAATCACTATCATGGTTGATTTTAAAATTGTCTCCCCTCTAAGCAGAACATGACGTGAGGTTCTGTAATGTTAGTGGGGTTGAGTAGGAACAGAGAATAAGAAGTTCCAGAGTATGAAGTGTGTGTAGTTCATACATCCCCTTACAGTGTGGAGATGCTCACTGCAAGAGTGTCCAGGGTCCTGAGGGGAATGGAATAGCTCTTCCTTCTGACCATTCATGCCAAATACTGTGTCAGGAAAGATGACTAAAAGCAGATTTGCATCTAAGGAGTAATCATTCAGAGAGGGAGGCAAAACTGTTGAATACAAGTGACACTTATCATTGAAGAAAATGTGAAAAATTTTGATTTTATATGAAGATCAGGTGGTACAGTAAAATCCACAAGTCATTTCAAAATTGAAACAGTAATCACTTTGGTAAATCATTTCTGATGCACAGTCTATTAAAATACATTGTAGCACTACGTTCATTAAAAACCAATTCATCTTCAATGCACTACTATCAGTTGCCTACCAAGAACTGGTGTCATTTCTGGGTTTACTGACTTTTCCAATTATGCCAACAGGAACTTTTTAAAACAATGTTCATAGACATGTGTGTTCTGTTAATATTCTTTCAGGAGAAGTTCAAATTTTCAGCATAGAGTTGTATTGAACAAACAGTGCTGTGTGACATTCTCAATGTTCAATTCAGATTGTATAATCCTTGTCAAATATTACCTTCTTTGAATTGAGTATTTAGATCTATATCCACTCAGTTCTATATTTCTCACCAGCAATGAGGATTAAAAAAGGAATTGTGAATTTGAATATTAATCAATTGTTCTTAGTGGAGAATTCACATTTCTAGGTAAAATGTTGTCAGTGAAGAAAGGAAGCAAGAATTTATTTGAATACGACTTAATTCCAAAAGAATTCTTGTTAATTATAACTCTTAAAAAGTACTGTTGTCCTGTAGTAGCAGGTTTAGATTTTTCTTTCCAAGTGCATTTTCTGCAACGTTATAAAAAATTCTCATTGCTAGTAAATAGTTCAGGCTATTCTTTTATGGTAGCGGCATGATTGCTGACGTGACAGTGTATAGCCAGCTCTTTTCAGTATCTTAAAACATGCATCTTGGTACATGATTTCTCTCTTTAGACATTTCTGGAAGATTCTACATTAAACCACTCTTTAATGAAGCCTGCAGTTTTTAGAAGACACTTATAAGGAGGACATGATTTAATGAATGAAGTAGGATAAAAGTAGTAAGATTTCTAGAGAAGGAAAATATTACATTGAGATGTTTGATTTAGCATTTTACTTATTTCTTGACCTCCTTATAGAAACTGCTGTAAAAAATGTAAAATAATGGAATTCTTGGTATTTGGGTACTCCAATAACAAATCTGGGTTTCAACCTGAAATTATTTGCCACCGTCTATATTTGAAACAAAAAAGAAATTTTGCTCATAATTTCCTTCAGAGTTACTGCCTTGGTAACACAGTACAAGATGGAAACTGGGGAGAAATGCTACGTGATTGAAATTCTAACCACTCCTCCGTATGTCTTAGTTACTCTAGATTCAGCTCATTGATTCTCATTTTGGATTTAGTGCCTGTACAATTTGACATTCATTGATGTCAGATTCTTAAGAGAAATTAAAGACACACATACAATTCTTACCCCTAGAAAGACCGTACAAAGACTCCGATTGGGTAAGAAGAGCCGTTCCATGTCTGGACTGCCAATTGCCTTCCTTACCACCAAAAAAGGGCAGTGTTTTATTATGCAAAACTTATTACTGTCTAGTTCTCACTAGGTGGAAATAAGCAATAACTACCCAGAAGCAGAATCTGACCTTACTAACATGATTTCTTAACTTCCATTTGAGGTAGGTGTTATTTAAAAATAAAATGGTGAGTGTGGAAACACTAAATATCCTCAGATTCCTACTCCTCGCATGTATGAGTAATCTGTCAGATAATGGAGCCAAATGTGGTATGCAGCTAACAGATTACATTTAACTGTGTGGTCAACAGCAAAAGTGCAGAGGAGGAAAGCAAACGGTCTTGTGCTGGGTGCCTGGCTCCTCTGGCAGGCTGAGCGCACTCCATCTGGTCAAGTTTGAGCAAGGACCCTTCACTGAGTGCAAAGAAGCTTGTTTCACTGACAGCGTGGTCTGTACTAAGCTAAGTCTGGCAAACAGAGCTACATGGTTTTATTAAATTGTGCCAGGACCAGTTAGGGGAGTGTTAGCTCACATTGCATATGAAATCTTGAATTTGTGTTGTGATGTTTATGAAACAAGTGTCATAAGGGAAAAGGAAGAAAGCTAAGACTTGAGAGTTTCTAGTAAATGACCTTGTGCAGGAGAGTATTCTACTTGGCCATGTGAAAATCATAAAGGGAATTTTAAATAAGTAGCAGTGCCAACGGTTGATCACCAAGAACATGTTTTAATGGAAATGGGTCTAATGTCCCTTCATGCATTAAGACAAACAAACAAACAAAAAAAAACCCCAAAACACAAAAAACCCAATGATCCTAATTAGCCATAGGTGATCACATAGCCAGGTGGAAACCCAGGGCATGTGGACATGTATCTCTCTCGTTTAGATGAAGTCACACATGTTGTGAAGAATATAAAAATGAAGCACCAGGCAGTGCTTTCGCCTGCACGGTAACGCTTCCAGCTGTAGGCTGTTGACGAGCCCCGTGACATGGTCAAGGAGCACACAGGAGGTGGCAAGTCTGCGTCTATGTAGCTGCTTTTAAAAAATAAAGGAACTTTAAACGTTTTGCCTTTTCCTCTACATATTCCAATAAAAATGTGATTACAAATAATTACAAAACCACCTTTTAGGCAATGTATAGTTCACTGAGATTATGTGGTCCTGGATACATCGCGAGATTACCCAGTGAAGAGGATACAGTAACACAATAATGCAGTATATTTCAGTAAAAATAGAATAAATAAAATATTTTAAGCTGTATTTAACAGGTTAATTAAAAAAAAGGATAAGACAAACAAGGCATAGTGAACACGGCTGCCTGTTTACCGAATCACAGATATAAAGAATGCATAGATAACTGAAGTGTCACTACAATATCGGGTAAAACACTGGCATCCTTTTCACAGACAAATACGCACATACGTTCAGACATACTTTTTGGCCATGGCAGAAAGTGAACACATTGTTTGACATAACTAATTTTACAAAATAAATCTGCACTCAGTATGCAAAGCGATTTTTCCAAACAAAATATCTGCAGTAAAGTTTTCAATAGTAAAGGCTATACCATTCATTTTAATGTATAATTGCATATATAAATCAGTTTGCTACTTAAAGCTAGCTCAGTATTCTTGATCCTGAAAACAAATGTCTTGTCTTAAAAAAATGAACCTGGGGGCGGGGCTGGGAATGGAGATTTCCAATACAGAAGTAGATTTGTTCAGAATTTTGCAAGTTACCACATTCAAACTTTTCACTGTGGAAGATGAAAGCTCATCAAGATGGAATTTTGATCAGCTTTTTAAAGGGCACAGTCAGGATTTTCTTAATGTAAAGGTTTTCTCTGTTGGCACTGGGTATTTCAGAGTGTCTGAGTTTTTGAGAAGATAATGCATCTCTAAAGAGGCACAATAGGGTACTGTCCTGACATGAGGGGGTAGACAATTTGTGGTTGGTGCAAATGGTTAACATTCTTAGCACCTAACCCAAAGGTGAGAGGTTCAAGTTCACTCAAAGGTGCCTCACAAGAAAGATGGGGGTGATCTACTTCTGAAAAATCAGCCACTGAAAACTCTATGGAGCACAATTCTGCTGATACCTATGGGGTCACCTTAAGTTGGAAATGACTCAATGAACTGGTTAAATACATTCTGTTCCCCTTCCATCACTAAAATATAGAATTGGGGGAGAAAGGAAAGCTGGAGCACATCTCTTTATTCCTCATGAACTCTGGTAGCCTAGTCCCGGGAGTCAATCTATCTTAACAGCATCTCTGTTGAATCCCATAGGTGAAAGAGACTGCACTCAAGTGTAGACTCTTGTCCTCTAAAGCACACCAAGGTACGCCTTGGGGTGGAAAAAGGTTCTTAGTGAGGACTATGGTTTTATAATTAATATCCCTGCATGACTACTTTGTGTGTGTGTACCATCAAATCAGATCTGACTGGTACAGGAGGAGATTTTCCCTCCTTCTTCAGCAGAGCATCTGGTGGATTCAAACCGCATACCTCTGGGATTGCAGTGCAGCTTCTTGCCACAAGGCCACCAGAGCTCCCTTGCATGACTACTTTGGACAGGTAATTCTAAGACTGCCAGATGGGATGCTTCCATACCTACCCTTCTTTGTATCCACCCAGAGTCACTGTGGATGGGGTCTTCCTTCTGGACTGATGTGGAAGCAGTGTATCACCCAAGACCTAGGAACTGGGAATGCAGGCCCTGGTCCAAGTTCTGCCTCTTGTGAGCTCTGGGCAACTGGTTTAGCCTCATGGTGCTTAATGTTTTCATTTCTCAAATGTGTTCCCTCCCTTCTCTACTGTGTAAGGCTCAAATGTGATAAGAATGTGGAAATCCTTTTGACAAGCACATAGCAATGTACAAATGGAAAGCACTGCTCTTAGAACTGGATGCTGCAAAACAATTTTTACATTAAAAAGCAAACAAGACTACTATTTAAATTGATCTCCTTAGCAAATTTTCTTTTAAAACCATGTTAACAATAAGAGTCTAAACTTGTGTAGCTTTACACTAAGTTTTATATCTACAAAGAAAGAAGCAAAGTGCTACTTCGGGGAGAGGTCTTAAATAATACATTGTTCTTATGCATATTTTTTTGTTCTGATATGAAACTGTAAAATCTTGAAAATAAAGTGAAGATACAAATTGAAAAATATAGCTTAAGAGTCTAACAAATTCTAATATTAAGTACGTAACTTCAGGAAAGGTTCAACTGAATGCAACTGGTTGCCATGGACTACACAGATGGACAGACAGCTTTCTGGGCAAAATACATCATATTAAGATTGACTAGGGCAGAGTGCTCGTGGACTAAGAAGTGTTGTGACAGAAATAATGCAGTGGTGGGAATTAAGAATAACTGGGTGTAGTGAAGTATAAATGCCATTTCCTCAACTCCAAACGGCATACTGACTAATTACCAAGATGAATCATTTGCGAGGAGTATCTAAAGTTATTTATGTGGAGTATGGCCACAGCAAACTCTAATTCTCTAGCTGCATTGTATAATATAAGGCAGAAATTGGAATAGATCCCACCAGAAATGTATTTTCTTCTAATTTCTTTTGCTTTAAACCCAATTTGAAACCCATCTGATAAGGGGAAAAAAGGCCCTTTGAATTTTCATTCTTCAAACTGAGCATGTTTTTCCTCAACTTTGAAGTTTCCTATTCTTCCCACCCCTCAACATTGTACAAACAAACAGCTGTAGATATGAAATGTGTCAAAGGGCTTGTCACGGAGAGCGGCCGGCTGGTTGCTATGAATGCTGACAGCAATTCTGTCAACCATCCGTTCCACTGTTACAAAAACCGAAACCAAAACCTCGCCATCCTAATTCTAAAGCAGTTCACTGGTAGCTGATAAGTGGCATCTACTCCAACGTGGCAAATGGCAATTGTAGGACATGAAGGTGGCTTGTGTTGGGTCCAGCTCAAGATGACAGTGAAACTAAACTCGGGTGTCATTCACTTCATGGACTCCACATTCACTGTGGCCACGTTTTTCCGTGTGTTTGTGTATGTGTGCGCGTGTGTGCACACGCACGTGTGTGAGGTTAAATCATGTTCACAATATTTACAGTAAGAAAAAGACCTTCCACTGCTCGTGCTGTATCTTACTGACAGCGAAAGAAAGGATTCATGCTTCTTTTCATTTCACATGGTGGTGGCAAGACGAGAGAACATGCTTGTCTAACACTGCTGCGTGAAGGATAAATTCTCTGAAGACAAAGCATTGCCAACCAGATGGAAGGCCCGACGTCAGTGTGTTTTCTTTAGTGTAGCTAGTCGATCTTCAGGTAAATAGTACAGAATCCTTTCACACACGCGGCTATGGCATTTCTGTGACAGGGCGTTTCTGTTTCAAAGTGTCAATGAGTGACAAGACCCCTCGCTTTACGTTGGTTGTGACTCTCCTGGTCATTGAGTCTGCTGCTGGCGGAGGCGGCGGCCGGACCTTCTGTGACGGTGGCCTGGCTACCAAGCACTTCTGGTATCGTAACTGAAAGAGAATGGGGGGAAAGGTCGTTATTAATTCAACCTCTCCTCTTTCTTAATGACCCTGATGAGTCAGGAGTTCATCTTCTAAAAAACCATGAAACCCGAGAGCTTGTTTATTTGAATGCTGCTGGTGGTGTTATAAGCCACTGAGTCGAGTGCAACTCCTAGCGACCGTATGAACAACAGATCCGGAACCTTGTCCTAACCTGGGGCTTCCTCAGAGTGGTTTAAATGATCTGGCCCTTCTCTTCCCTCCATCTCCAAATTCTGCTTGTTCTGCTGTGACAGGCTGTGAGTCCTGTGCCTCATAATCAAAGAGGAATTGTATACAAGAGGCTGGGAGAGTTGGTGGTATTCATTTTCTCCTCAGACGCAGTTATAGCCAAGTCCTGGTGGCTGAGTGGGAACAGGCAGAAAGGACATAGTTTGCTTCTAGAGGCTGCTGCTTGTGAGCTTGGAGCCCCAAGAACTTAATATATCTGAGCCTCAGCTGCTTCAGCTGTAAAATGGTTTAACAATGAGATGCTTAAAGGGAGCTACCCAAGAAGTCTCTGGTGAGCCTAGGGAGCTCTCGTGGCTTAGTGGAAAGGAGATGCACTGCCAACCCAGAGGCACAGGTTCAAATCCATCAGCTGCTCAGCAGAAGAGAAATGCACAATCACCTCTCATGGAATTTACTGCCTCTGAAAACCCGCTAGAGAGGGTAAGCTATGAGTTGGTTCTGAATCGATGGTATATAACAATCACTACCACCCCAACAGTCGGCAGTTCAAATCCACCAGCTGCCCCTGAGATAAAGACGGGCAGCCTCAGACCTGGCGAGGGTTGCTAGGAGTTGGAACAGACCTTACAGCAGCGAGAGAATGACGCAGTAAGGGTTGGCTGTGGAATGCCCACGACCAGTCTAGCATGCAGAGGCAGGCCTAACAAGAGAATACTGACAGCATTTCAGGATGCATTTTGTACAAGAATAAATCCAAATGGAATCATGGTTAAAACAAAACACAAAAAACTCTCTTCCTACCACAGAAAATTTCTAACCTTCAGAAACAAAATGACACATTAGTTTTGCCTTACTAGAAAGAGAAGTGCTTTTAACACGTTGCCACAAATGACAGTTACTGCCGTCCTGCACAATTTAAGAGGTCTATAGATATTGTAACGGATGCTAGATGGATCTTAGCTGAAAGCAGGGAATACCAGAAGAATGTCTATCTGTGTTTCATTGACTATGCAAAGGCATTTGACTGTGTGGATCATAACAAACTGTGGCTGACGGCTGACTCTGAAAAAAAAACAAAAAACAAAAAAAACAACAAAAAAAAAACCAAAAACGGGAATCCCAGAACACTTGATCATGCTAATGCGAAACCTATACTTGGACCAAAAGGCAGTCGTCAGTACAGAACAGGGAAACATTGCATGGTTCAAATTGGGAAAGGTGTACGCCGGGGATGTGTCCTATCTCCATACCTTTTCAACCTG